TCAACTCAGGTCATGATTTCACGGTTTGTGAGTTTGAGCCCCACATCAGCCCCGCTGTACTGACAGCTCAGGTCAGAGCCTGGAGCCTGCTTTGGATTCTGTGTCTCCCTCAATCTCTGCCCCTCTCCTGCTCATATTCTGTCTGTCTGTCTCTCTCTCTCCCTCTCAAAAATAAATAAAACATTAAAAAAAATTGAATAGTAAATGCCTCAAACCAATCTTATTTATCATCTGTCTCCCCTAAAACTTTAAGTTCTCAGACAGTGGGATTTTTTTTTTTAGGTTTTCATTTAAATTATAGTTAGTTGGGGTGTCTGGTGTCTTAGTCAAGTGTCTAACTCTTGATTTCGGCTTTAGATCATGATCTCGTGGTTTATGGGATCGAGCCCTATGTCAGGCTCCACGCAGACAGCAAGGAGCCTGCTTGGGATTCTCTCTCTTCCTCTCTTTCTCAAAATAAATAAGGAACCTTAAAAAAAATAAATTCTTCTTATTTAACATTTAGTATAATATTGGTTTCAGGAGTGACAGTGGGATTTTTATCCATTTTCTTTACTACTAAATTCTAAGTGTCCAGGACAGTGCCTGACATACAGGGGACCCTGACTATATATTTGTTGAATGAATGAAGGAAAAAAAATGGTAAACCATTATGCCTTATAGTCTTGGTAAATGAAATTAAATTTAAACTTGTCAAACCAAAAATCTGATGACAGATTGTCCATTCTGAGTTCAAAGGAACACAAATACTTCTTTAGAGTAAATCATTTACACGGTGCTTTACAGTTTATAATTACTTTCCCATACATCCCCTCATGTGATCCTCCTTATTCTAGAAATACTCTCTCTCAAAGTGATCAAAGGCCTCCACTTCCACCTTAAGCACTGCCTCAAGCCCTCCTCTCTTCCGTCATTACTGAGTTATGTCTTCCTGTGTCATGGGGGGCTTTTAACACCCATTTCCTAAGGAAGTTCTGAAACTCTTCCCAGTCCCACGCACACTAAAGTAATGATATGGACAATTTTAGTAAAATTCCTATGACTGTGAATAGAAGAAAAACAATAACAATAACTAACATTTATAAAATACTTATTGTGTGTGCCAGGTACTGTGCTAACCTTTTTATGTGTATGGCTTCTCACATTAAATCAATGCTGTAGATACTATCATTCCTTCTCATTTTACAGATAGGCAAATTACAAAACTGACAGTTTAAGTAATTTATAGTCGTACTCCAGGATGGTATTCCCAAGTCCTATATAATTTGAACTAGCATTACAATTTTTTTATTCCTAAGGAAAAAAAAAAAAAACTCCAAACAAAAGATACCAATATTCATGGAATGAAATGATTAGAAAAAAAGAACAGAGGTTTTAAAATCAATGTAGAAGGGCGACTGGTTGGCTCAGTTGGTTGAGCATCCTCTTGATTTCAGCTCAGGTCATGATCTTGCAGTTTGTGAGTTCAAGTCCCGTGTTGGGCTCTGTGCTGACACACAGAGCCTGCTTGGGATTCTTTCTCCCTCTCCTTCTCCCTCCCTTCCAATAAATAAATAAACATTAAAAAGAATCAATCATATATTTCCTAAGCACCTGTTACATGGGTAGCACTATTCAAAGAAGCATGGGACATGGAAGCATAAGATCCACTCCGGTCTTCTGGAAGTTTACAATATAATTGAAAGCAGACAATAAATCACTAAGAGTAAATATTTATAAAATGTTTTATCGCTTTAAAAAGACATACTGTCCCATAAATTATCTTGTGTGAACCTCACCAATAAGCCCTAAGGAACTATTTCATAAGAGATGAAGAAATTGAGACTCCAAGGTGTTGGGTAATATGGTACAATGTGGGGAAACAGGTTCTACTTAAATGGAAAAAAGCTTAGAAGCTGCCACCACGGGGTGAAAACACCCAAGGTTAGCTAGCGATATATTCCAATAGGATCATGAGTATGTTCCATCTGATGCCAATATATTATTGTACTTTGATCACAAACGCCACCTGCCCCCAGACCCTTTGTTACTTACACACAACTTAATGATTACTATCTTATTGTTTTCTCCATGTTCACGTGTATAAGTTCTTGTTTTCTTCAGGTTCACTACGTGGGTAATATCTTGTAAGCTCAATAAATACGGAGATGAAACCCTTATTTGGGGCTCTTCTCTCTTCCCAGACACTAGCCTTTGTTGTATTCAATTCTGCGTCCACTCTCTTGCTGGACAAAAGAGAACTCCAGATGCACAGTCTGCGACAGCAAAGTTCACTGAGATAGCAAGTGGAAGTCCTTGAATTTAAATATGTACCTTCTAATTCTAAATCAAGCTGACTAGGAGAGGAGTAGAGGCCCAAGGGCTAAAAGGCAGAAAAGGAAATGGTAGCAGGAAAGAAACAAAAGTAATGACTGGAAAAAGAAAAGCAGGGCAATATATAACATGGAAACCAGGGGAAGAAAGAATTTCAAGAAGGACCTGACCCTTCTTTCAAGAATGATAACAACCAAGGCAGGATTACTTGAGAAAGGACTTAAAAAAAATTTTTTTTAATGTTTTTTATTTATTTCTGAGAGAGAGAGAGACAGAGCGAGCAGGGGAGGGTCAGAGAGAGAGGGAGATACAGAATCTGAAACAGGCTTCAGGCTCTGAGCTAGCTGTCAGCACAGAGCCTGACACAGGGCTCGAACCCACGAACCATGAGATCATGACCTGAGCTGAAGTCAGATGCTTAACCGACTGAGCCAACCAGGCGCCCAGAGAAAGGACATTTTTAACAAAGTGTAACTCTGTGTTATTATATTTAGAGACCATTCAAATTATTCACTTTAAATGAGTTAATACTTCCAAAGTGCTAACAGCAGCGCCTGATACACAGCATGCACAACATAAGCATCTGCGAAACAGATAAAACATAATACTGATTATATGGTAAGATAAAAGATAAAAATGTCAATGTGTCTGTTAACTGCAATTCAACTACCCTCATGGGAGGAAAAAAGTCCTTGAACAACGTTTCTCAATTATGAAGAAAGAGACTTAGCCTGATAATAACAAGCAGCCAATAATGCTGGCTATGTCTATCCACTGAGCTAGGAACTTTATTGTGATTACCTGATTTAATTCTTACTGCAAACTGTAAGAATGAAATCAGAGGTAGATCAAGGTTTTGTAGGGCCTGATGCTTATAAATTAAATAAATAAATAAATATATATACACACACACACACACACACACAAATAGCTCTTACCTTTATAATATTTACAAAACCATAGGACCATGAGAGTACACTGCTAAGGTTCTTCCCAAAGCCTTGGAAGGTACCACTGCAAGTGAAGATGCCATGAAGTTTAAGCTGTATTAACTTCATGGTATATCCTTCTTTAGGTTGGATATTAAAAAATCCCATTTCACTGAAGAAAAAACTGAGGCACAGGGAGGTTAAGTGACTCTCCCAGAGCCATAACTAATATTCATTTATTGTTTTGTTGTTTTTTTTTTACCTTTAAAAATAGTGTATTTTTGAAAGACAGCAAACATGTGACTGGGGAAGGGCAGGTAGAGAGGAAGGCAGAGAATTCCAAGCAGGCTCCATGCTGTCAATGCAGATTTGGATAGGGGCCCTGATCACAAACCATGAGATCATGACCTAAGCCAAAGTCAGATGCTTAAATGACTGAGCCACCCAGAAGCCTGCTGTAACTATTATTCAAACCCATCCTGCCTGATTCTAGCACTTGTTCTTTTACTCATCATGCTATATTCTTTCATGAAGGTCTGCTCAAGTTTATAAAACTTTGAGAAACATCTGCTTTATGTGAATACAGTGGAGGCAGAGTATGTTTACAATGCTAGGTTAGGCTAATGAGCAATATTTTGAAGGCTGGGTAGATGGCTCCAAGACCTGCCAGTTCTAAACAATTGTCATTCTGTAGTGATCTTATCCTCAATGTAGTATTTGAGGGGAATTCTCATGTCTTGGGATTTGTAACACTTCCAGGATATGAAATTCTCAATGTCATATCAGATCATGGTAACCCATTGACTTGAGGCAGGTGAGACTCCACCTAGTTTGAAATAAAATCTTTACTGTGTCCCACAAGCCTCCTTAATTATCTGGCCCTTGCCTACTTCTTCAATTTTATCTGTCACTATTTTTCCTTTTTTTACTATTTTCCAGTCAAATTTATGTCCACACCCAAAATAAGGCAGGGTATATGTCAGGGTCTTTGCACATGTGATTTCTGCCAGCCTGGAACATGCTTCTCTCAGATCTTCTCTGGCTTCAAGTCTTGGTTCACATCTACCTCCTTAAAGAAACGGGTTATGCTTGACCCCATCTACAAAAGAACACCTGGTCCCCCAACATACACTCTTTATTATCTTAGTTTTTCTCACAAACTTTATTATATAAAAACTTTTATGTATTATTTTACTATCTGTTCTAAAGAATAAAATTTCCACAAGAACTTGAAACCTTGTCCTTGTTCACAGCCACATCCTCAGTTTCTATAAGAGTGGCATATAGTAAGTGCTCTAAAAATATGTGCTAAAAGAACAAATAAATGGCTTGTCCTTAACTCAGTTCTGAAAAACAAATCCAGGATAATTAATTTGGACTGCTCTGCTTGAGGCTACTAACAGCGACTTCCAAGAACAATTCTTTCCACCAGCTCCTCTATGTTACATGTAGGAGTTCGCCAGTGTTTTTGCTAGCAGATAATTTAATACAACTAAAGGAGCAGAATAACCAAGGAACTAAAAAAAATGTATTCTATTAATCAACCTGACATCAATTAAGAAGTTAAATTTGTACGTTACACTGAGTATGTTAGTATCTGCAATTTTGAAAGAATAGGAATGCTGAGCAATAACTCTATCATTGTCTGAAATACAAAACATTGTGACTTTAGTCTCATATATTTGGAATTTAGAAAACATCATTTTAAATTATATTAGCAAGCATTTATTATAGTTAACATGCAAAAGAAAAACATACCTCCTAAGGCCCCACTGTGATCTAGACTTTTCTTTTTAAAGCCATTAGAGACAATCAAAACAGGAACGACAACAGAAAACAGCCAACGCCAAGGAGAAACAGGCTGTAAAGTACCTAAAAGTTATAAAGATAGAGCACAAATTGTATGAAGTGTGAACATGTTAGTTCTGGCTGTAAACTTTGATAACTGCATTCTGGATTAAAATACTGTCATAAGTAGAAAAACAGAGATGAAGTCACCAAAGTAAAATGTGTTGAGACTTTTATATTTCCAGAGAGATAACACTACTGGGGAATGACTAAATTAAGTCCTGTCCAAGTTTTGATATTTCAATGAATAGTTCAACATTGTTTTAGGAAGGAGTCATGTATTAAATCTCAAGAACTGCATAATGCAAACTATTTTCTTAACAGGATCAAATTATTCCACTTTCTGCCTTGTAGAAGTTTTTCCTTTTTTAAAGTAATATTCTCAAAAGCTACACACCTCCATTCAACAATTAACAACCATCCAATTTTTTCAAAGGTTGCATCTAGCTCACAGATATTTTGTTTGGCTAGTATAATGTTTTTAAACAATTGGAAGTTAATATTTAAAGATAAGGATATTTCAGTATAAAAATCCAGAACTTTGGCTTATGTTTTAAAACGTGGAAGTTCAGGCTCACGTGGCAGAATTCACTGCAGTGGAGAGAGGCCACTTCCTTTAGACAGGCCATTGCTTTCTTGTTCAAAGTCCCCACCATTCCTGACAGACTCCTACACACCAAGACTGAGTGATTATGGTAACGAAAAAATCTGAACTATTGCGTGGGTGTATGTTTCTATCAAAAATGGGAAAATGGGAGACAAAGAGGGTCAAATTTCCAACCAAAAATTTCTACGTCTGAAAATGAAAACTAATTCCCATGTGTTTAAGATGCAATGATCAGGTGCTTGGCCGCAGAGGGACACTTGGGTTTAAAAATCCTGGTTTATTCCACTGAGTTCAAGTATTAGTTAATACTAGCCCAAACAAGACTTTTCTCCCATACCTCTCCTAAATCCTCATCCCCTACTGTGAATCATTATAAACGAAAAACTCTGAAAGCTTCTGAACCCTGAACATCACCCATTCAATTATTCACATGTCTGCAAAAGGGTCAGGTCTGAGATGGCAATTGCTTTCTCACTCTACTTTTCACTGAAGGCTGAACAGCATGACATTTTTATAGAAGTACCCAGGAATCTGTGTAAAGGCATATATGTATGTTCTAAGGAGGCTTCGAAACTGTAAAGATTTGAGTCCAGAGTCTGCAATGTGGTTTCAGACTTTAAAAGGAATCTGTTCTTCTGAAGTGACTAAAACAGCTGACAAACCCTCCAACTCTCCAAGTGTAAACACTATACTACCTTTTATTTTTACTGAGATTTTTTGCAGGATATAAGAAACTAATAGTTACAAATATTCCTATTTTAAAAATCACTGCAATTGCTTTACAAAACTGTTTCATTTCACTGATTTCTCAAGATAGATGTAATAACTACATACAACATAAAAACAAGTTTAACTAGTATTACCACAAGCTGCGTTTATTAACGTTCAAGGCAGTGATTATATTTTAATGTTTGTAAATTGGGACCGTGGGAGTTAAGTAAACACAACAGTTCATAACCACTGAGAAGACAGAGTTTTGGATTTCATTAATGAGACAATTTTCAATTCCACCCATTAGATTACAGAAAAACAACTTAGAGCATTCATACTTACCATAATAGGTGCTTGCAGTCATAGACATAATCCAGAAAGCTAAAGAAATGCAAATGATCAGGCTCAATATAACTATATTAGTGATCATCTTTATATACTTTTTGCATATATTGTCGTCAAGATCTGTCATGGAAAGTAAGGATATGAGCGAGCCCCCGAGGGAGAAAATACGATGTTTTTCAAAAAAGAAAAATCAGTCATTTAAGTTGTCAGCAAAAAACTCATGCGGAGTCAAACATAAACGCGAACATCTCCCACCGACTGAAAAAAAAAAAAACCAAACTATTTCTGGAAACTTCGGCAGGTGGAGAGCTGAAACTCCCGTGGGCGAGGTTAGCACCTCCCTGAAAAAGCGAAGCGCATCCGCGCAGAGAGCCGGTTCCTACTCCGCGGTCACTCCACACCAGAACTCTGCAGAGTGGAAGGGGACGGGAAAGCGGAATCAGCCAATCGCTGGTGTTAGGACCCCAGCCCCGCCTCCGCCACCCGCCCACGCGTCGACGCAGGCAAGTCCTCCGCCGCAGAGAGACAGGGTGCACAGCCTGGACCCAGGTGGGTCCCAGTGGTGAGCCTCGCGCGGTGGAGCGCGGTCACGTCCCGACAGCTGCGCGCGCCGCCTCAGCGTCAAGGTCCAGCCCGCCGGCGCCGAGGTCCCCGGAACTCAGCCCCGAGCCGAGTCGCGTCTCCCCTTCCTGCGCGCATGCGCCGCGGCCGCCCTGGACGTCGCTTAGTTCACGTGAGCGTTTTAGGGGCGGCTCCCGGACGGCGAGCGGGGCGGATCCTCTCAGAGGCCACCTGCGACCGGGGCCGGGTGGGTTTGTAATGCTTCTCAGAATACTGATGTCTGGAACCTTAGGTACTCGCGTTTGAGGACATAGTCAAACACCGAATGCTGAAACCACCACCGGGGAAATAATAGAAAAAAGGAATGCAAATAAACTTAGACCCCGTGAGTCTGTTTCAAGCATAATCAACTACTTTTTCATTTATAGAGAGTTCGTGGCATATTATGGATTTTTTAGGGGAAGGGGGATATTGTGTTGTAAAAACAATTTTATGACAGAAAATTATTTAAAACGACACCATTTAGTATGTGGCGAACACACTCAATTGGAGATGTTAAAGATAAAGCTAGTTCCTGCTATTGAGCCCAAACAGTTATTGTCATGACAGCATTTATGGAGGAAATCTGTTCCCACACCGCTCATACTTTGTGTGCATTAAGTCAATTAACTTAGAAAGCAGAAGGTCTTATTAGCATTAAAAGTCCGAATCTTGTGGCTTATTTCATGCTTTATTTGATGTTAACATTTGTGTGTCTTGGTTAAAACTAATTGATAATTACATTATATTTGAACTTTTTCAGTTTATTGTTGACCCTGTAAGCCTCAGAGGATGTAAATGAGTTGCAGATGGTACACATCTAGTACCCAGATGTGCTTAACCCAAAATACTTTTTCTTTGAATAGTTTTTTAACTACTGAGTATTTTTTAAAAACACCTAAGTCTAAATTTAAATAACACACCCAAACAACTTAACATCCTTTCCTTTGGTAAGACAGTGAATTAACTGATTAATTAAGAACCATATCTGTGGGGGCACCTGGGTGGCTCAGTTGGTTAAAGAAGCTGACTCTTGATTTCAACTCAGGTCATGATCTCACGGTTTGTGAGTTCAAGCCCAATGGCGGGTTTTACACTATGACAGTGTGGAGCCTGCTTAGAATTCTCTCTGTCTCTCTCCCTCCCTCCCTCCCTCCCTTCCTCTCTCCCCTCCCTCTCTCTCTCTGCCCCTACCATGGCTCTCTCTCTCTCTCAAAATTAAAAAAAAAAAAAAAAGTAAAAGAACCAAATCTGTGAAGTAGGACTAAATAGAAGTGGCCTTCTTATCAGACTATATGCATATATGGTCTCCCTGCAGAAAATATGTGTCCACTTTATTTTTGTCTCACTCTGTTCAGTACAGGTAAATGATTGGATTACCTCAGCAAGTTGACTACCCAATATCAGTCACACTAGACAATTGGATACAGTTATTAACAATAAAACCTATTATTTTTGTGATTTGCATAGTGATCTTGCTTTTGTCTCACAGACAGTATTATGAACTGATCTTGCTTTTTTCTTCCCTCTCCTTTCATCAGTCACAGGGTAACCTTGTCCGATGTTGGTGTTTTGTGAGATTTTTACATACAATAGAAAACCATTGCCTAGCTGTGTCAGGCATCTCCTAAGAACACTGAAGTCTAGATGTGTCAGGCTAGTTCCTGGATGCCAGGGATGATTATCTCGTGACTGTGACTAAAATTGCATATTAAATAATAAATAATAGTGCCAATGATTGAGCCTAAAAATGAATTCTTTTTCATTTTTTCTCAGTGTCCAATTACTGCTGTTCTCCATCATGTTATTTTATTTATTTTAAGTTATTTTAGCTTAAGGCTGAAACAATTTGGGGGAATTAATGTAGTTAAAATACACTAATTTAAAAAAAATTTTTAATTGTTTATTTTTGAGAGAGACAGCATGAGTGGGGGAGGGGCTGAGAGAGAGGCAGACGCCAAATCCAAAACAAGTTCTATGCTGCAGGCTCCTAGCTGTCAGCACAGAGCCTGACAAGTGGCTCAAACTTAGAAACAGCGAGATCATGACCTGAGCTGAAGTTGGATGCTTAACCAACTGAGCCACCCAGAGTCTCCAAGATAAACTAATTATTTGAAAAAATAGCATTATTTTACAGTCTGATTATTTTTATACAGTTCGATAATTTTCAAAATTTCTACAGTATTTTTCTACATACATTAAAAGTCATTTTTGGGGAGCCTGGGTGGCTCATTCCATTCAGCGTCTGACTCTTGATTTCAGCTCAGGTCATGATCTCACAGTTTGTGAGTTTGAGTCCCACATTTGCAAGGAGCCTGCTTGGCGTTCTCTGTCTCTCCCTCCCTCTCTCTGTCAATAAATAAATAAACATTAAAAAAACTAAAAATCATCTTCTAGAAACACAAAATTTTTGGTTAAGCATTTCCTATATTTCTTAAGATATTAATAAGTATGCACTCTCCACTCTGCTTCTCTCCCCCAAACAATACCTTTGATCAGATTTAAGTTTGAGAAATTTTGTGTCCTCAGAGGACTTTCAGAATGTGTTATTTTAAAGGCTCGGAGAAGTTAGGAAACTTGAACACCTGTTTAAATCTTTCCAACAGTTAATTCTGTTTTATCAAATTCTTTTCCCCCAGAAAACTCAACAGTTTGAGAATTTCTATAATAATAACAATAGACTGAAAAGTCATTATTACACTAATAATCTTCGAATGTAACCATATGAATACCTAATTTCAGTTGTTCTTTGATATACACAAATTTGGATTTTTGGGGCGATAAGACATTTGGTACTTGATACCATCGTTAAAGTCATCCCAATGGCAAAAAGCACTTACCATTGCTAGGGAAATGTCAGTGGATTCTATGTATGTTTCCTTTGAATCTAAGCCAAAGGAGTAGTTTAGGTTTTCTGAAATGTGCTAATATTTGACTGCCTAATGCATACATGTCAGATTGAAAGCTCAAAAAAAAAAAACAAAAAAAAAACCAAACCCAACACATATATGCATATACCCCTTGAAGGAACATAGGTGAAAATCAATGTGGAGACACATATTAATATGACTTCGTTCAAGTTATGTATAAAACAGGACTGAAGGAGTAAAGCACTTCAGTACATTAAGGTAAGTGTCATAGAGGGATTGTGAAAGATGACAAGTTTAAGTGACCAAGGGCACTTTGTAAGTGCCACCACTTTACACCAATTTATAAAGGTTTGGTGATTAAGGAGAGCATGAAAATAAGTTTAGGAGAATGGAGAAGATTTAGAAATAAGCCTTGAGGGGCGCCTGGGTGGCTCAGTTGGTTAAACGTCCGACTTCGGCTCAGGTCATGATCTTGTGGTTCGTGGGTTCCAGCCCTGCATCGGGCTCTGTGCTGACAGCTAGCTCAGAGCCTGGAGCCTGTTTCAGATTCTGTGTCTCCCTCCCTCTCTCTCTCAGAAATAAATTAAAACATTTAAAAAAAAGAGAAAAAAAAAGAAATAAGGCTTGAAATATTATCTAAACTGAAAGCTTTTTTTTCTGCTGAGAGGTACATATCTGCTTTCTTGATATTAAACTCAAAGTTTCTTTTATTTTTTCAGCTTCTGAAGCATAAATTTTAAAAGCCTAAGTAGCAATCTGAAGACTAATTTCTTGATTCTAATTCAACTCATTCCAAAGAACATTAAGAAGAGAAAGGAGCCATGAGGAGAGGAATAAACAAATGGAATATTTACTTCCAGTAACTTTGAGGACAGGGACCTCATCTATCTGGTTTGCTCTTTTTTTTTTTTTTTTTTTAGTGAATGTTAAGATAGTATTTTTTTGGATTAAAGTACCAAGTGAAAAAATAAAATGAAAATTTAAAAATCACATCTTATTTCCTTTATTGTTATTGAACAGATGCTATTGTTATTGAAATAATACTTTGATAATTCTATCTACAAATAAATCTTTGTGTGATCCTCTATTGTCAGGATAGACTGACAATTTTTATAGCCTTTTGTGTATCTGGTTTAGATAGCATAACCATTATAAAACAGTGCAAATCTAGTATAATGTATTGTTAGATAGAATTTGAGCAACAAAAGTAAAAATGATAATTCCTCTTCTAGGCTTTACATATCTTTATTTTGATTATAGTTTGCTTCAATTTAGGGCCAAGGACTTCTACAGAAGTATTTTAGGAGGTCCATTTAGGGGAAAGACTTCCACAGAGATATTCATGTACATTTAAAAACAATAGGCATGACAGTAATTTCCTTGTAAAGTTTTTAATATTAATATAGTCAGAATACAATATGCAGTTGTTTAGTATACATTATAAAATCATTAATTTTAGAAGATTTCCAACTACTTAAAGAATCCCATATTTGGGCATTAAAATGAACTATTTTCTTTATTATACCAAAATTGAAATTTACCCGTATCCTAACATTGAGGAATGAGATAAAATACCAACATTATAGTCTACCTGGAAAAGATGAATGACTTCACAGACTATTTTTACTATATACATATGTATAATTTATTTCTTGAGACACATGTCCTATTTTAATAACATGATTCATGATTCATTATGTTTGACAGAGGGTTATAATGTGGAGGGTAGAGCATAGAATTTGAAGGCTACAACCATTGTTCAGTTAAGATTGAACATTTTAGATTGCTGGCATTTCTATCCCCTTGTGCTAGTTGGCACATATTGAACGTCTACATAAATAAATAAATAAATAAATAAATAACATTAACAAAGATTCCATCTGCAAATTGGAGATAATACCATCTACCACAAAGAATATTTGTAAAGAACAAGAGATCTAAAGGATGCCATAGTGTTTTGTTAACCTTAAGACTCTAAGCTATTTGTAAAAATCTGTTGGTAGGGTTTGTTATTCTGTAAAAATATCAAATGTCAAACTTGGCTTTGGTACAGTATTTTACTTATGTTTTCCTGTTGACAAAGATACCATTAATAATCAATTTGTTCAGTGTTCATTTTCAAGGGAAAAATGTCTTGTAATTAAGAATAAAACACTGTTCAGTTCAGGTCAGCACTGGTGTCCTTCTGTCTCCTTTGCTAAATCATAAGAATAAATCTGTTTTGTTTCAAGGGAAAAGTGTTTTTGGAAAAAGGTCTAAAGTTTATATGCTGATTAAATTCCAATTCAACAGCATTTACCAAAGCACTTCATGTATATTTCTTTTATAGCATTAATTGTATTGTGTTACAAATATATTTTTTCCTTGCAGGAAACTTTTGAGGAACTTAAGGGGAGATAATGATGTCATCTTTATATCATCATGTTACTAGCCTTTGGCTGATTCTTTGTAGAGGTTAATGCCTAGCAGGTATAGAATGAATAACAGATATAGAATGAACAGAGGATCTGTATTGCGTCCAGCAGAAGAAAAAGAGCTATTCTAATTTCGATTATTTTTATGGTAGATGGTCAAAGTGTAAAGTTTATCAACAACTGAAAACAGGATTTAAAAAGATTTAGGTTTTTCTCTATGAGCGAGACTAGTTTTAAGGTAGACAGATGCATGTTAATGAAACAATTTGATGCAGGGAGTGAGTATTTAGAGCATGTTATCAGAACAGTAATATGAAAATGACATGGAGAAAACACCAAAATAAATTTACCTTAAAATTACTGAGTGGTAGTGTATCCAGTGGTTTCAAATAATAATGAAGACTAACTTTGCCAAAGGCTTGTATTTTATAATATTTTGTGATTTTTAATATGTTATATTAAGATATCAAAATACTGTTGTAGATGGAAACTAACCTGCATTAATTAGTATTTTGTATTTGGGAGGGGCGATGAACCACATGAGTTTATACTTGGAAAACAGTTAATGTTTAAAATTTTATTTTTATTATGTTTATTTATTTTGAGAGAGAGAGAGAGAGACAGAGAGCGAGCACGAGCGGGGGAGGGGCAGAGAGAGAGAGGGAGACACAGAATCCAAAGCAGGCTCCAGGCTCTGAGCTATATCAGTGTAGAGCCCGACATGGGGCTGGAACCCTTAGGCCCTAGATCATGACCTAAGCCAAAGTTGGATGCTTAACTGACTGAGCCACCCAGGTGCTCCAATACAGTTAATGTTTAAATGATTATTTGCTCAATTTATTTTGAGGTGTAAAGTTATGGTCAGTCAGTCAGTAAAGAGATATTTGGAACCATATTAAAAAAAACAGGTAATGACAATTCCAAGGAGCTATGTCCACTATTTAAGATAAAATGACTAACACAAGGCTTAGAATATTCACAAAAGGACTTTCATAAATATTTGTTTTAAGTGCCTGATAACTAAAATGGCCTTTTCTTACTTTTGCCTTTGTGAATTCCAGTTGCTTGGAAGGCATTCCTTATTAAAGGACAGGTTGCTAATACTGTAAAAAGACTATTGCTGGGATCCAAGTAGCTGTCACAAAAACAAAAACAAAAACAGAAACAACAAAAATACTTCTCCCAGTTTTTAAAAATAAAATAGCCATTACTTTAAAGGAAAAAGATATAGCAATTATGATTAGGTATATATGCTACTTTCATAAAATAGTGTCAGAAGCTTGAACTAGGAATGAATAACTTGATTACATATTAATAAACCTAATGTGATTTGCCCAAAGCTCTTTGAAGGAAAGGATTCTTTTTTTTTTTTAATTAAAAAAAAATTTATTTCTGATAGAGTGAGCAGGGGTCGGTCAGATAGAGAGGGAGACACAGAATCTGAAGCAGGCCCCAGGCTCTGAGCTAGCTGTCAGCACACAGCCCGATGCACGGCTCAAACCCACAAACTGTGAGATCATGACCTGAGCTGAAGTAGGACGCTTAACCGACTGAGCCACCCAGGTGCCCCCAGGAAACGGTTTTTATTAAAATTACGAGTTATCTGGTGAAATAATGTCAACTCTTTAATTAGTCAAGAGGCAACTATACGAAGAGTTCTCATATTGTTTTGTAAATTAGGATTTGTGTAGCTTTATCAGACACATATATATATTTTTTAAGTTTATTTATTTATTTTAGAGACAGACCATGCACACGAGGAAGAGAGAAAGAGAGAATCCCAAGCAGGCTCCATTGTGGGGCTCCGACATGAACCATGAGACCATGACCTGAGCCAAAATCAAGAGTAGGTCCTTTAACCCACAGAGCCACCTAGGTGCCCCTGGACACAATATTTTTATAGAAAATACATTTCACTTCCCTTATGCAGTACAGTTGCTCTATTTGACTCACTAAAAAAGGAGATAAAAGCAAGCTGATATATATGATAAATTGATTCCATTTTAAGTTATAAGTTGTGAAGTTATAAGTACTTTTCTGTGATTAAATCCTATTGTGGGCTTAGGGAGAAAAAAAGCTTAAGAGTTTTGGTATCATCACACATGGGGGTAGAGAACATATTCCCAATATAGAATTTTGTATCATGTTATCTAATGTATACATTTTGGAATTGAAAGTGTAGTATTTTTATTATGAGAAAAATAGTATAGATTTATCTTTTTGTTTAACTAAGGTAAAAGCTAGATCACAATGTCTGTATTATATCATAAGATATAACCAGCTACCAGTTTTAACTAGTGTGAGGTACTTGAGGCCTTACCTTGCTTGAATGACTCCAGAGTACTTCATAGTCAAAATATTATTTTCAAATTTCATATTATTCAAAACTTCATTTTCAAAATATTTTACAATCTATTTTAAAAGCTAATATTTTTATGAGGGAGGCCATGATTAGCTCATTTTTATTGGTAAGCAGATACAGAAAGTTTAAATAGAAGAACTTGCCTTGTATCTCGTTTTTTTTTTCCTATAAAATTTCTAAATCACAGTGCCAATAATAATACAAAATCCGGCAATTTTAAAGTCATATTTAATGTTGGTTAACACCTACTTAGCATCCTATTAAGAATGTAATACCCTAACACTGGTACAGGAAAAAAACTGTTTTTCTAATATAAATTAAAAACATTGTCATAGACAGTTCTTTAAAAGTAGTTTTAAAAGACAAAAACACATAATACCTTGCAAACATACAATTCGCTAGCAAAATTTTTAAGTACATAATTCTCATGTAAGGCACTTTCATTCTTTTTCAAATAAAATTTTCATAAAAAGTTTCCATCTTTTGTAATCAAATCTTCTTAACTTATATAGTGATAATGTTCAAATAAAACTATTAAATACCCAATTTTGGCATACTTTCCTTAAATACCTTTACTTTTGAAGAGAATGAAGGATGGGCATCAAGTTCTATGTAAACTAATCTTAAACGAGGGTATCCTTAGTCTGTTTTAGAGAATTGGTAACATTTTAGCTTGTTGCTCTTGTTCAAGAATCTTGAAATTTTCCAAAGGAAGACTGCTTAAGGCAGTTGGTAAAATGTTCTGATGTACCCTTAGGTAATTATGTTATTTGCTTCCAGATTCTTCACCAAGCATGTGGCTTTGATCCATCTCCGTGTTGCTCTGCGTTCTTTTTGTAAGCAAGTTTTCATTTTCTTTCTTAAGCTTGCTATTTCTTTTTCCAGTTTTATTATTCTCTTTTTGGCCTCCATAGGATTCCTAAAAGCATAACTGTGTTCAAGCAGTACTTGCTGACTGCTAATGCTTGATTTTAAATTAGATGGTCCTTTTGGAGTACAAGTATTGTTTTTCTTCAAAAGACTCCTTGACTTGAGTTTCTAAGCCAAATAAAATCAAAGGGTTGAACATAAACGAAAGAATATCACAAATAAGTAAATTTTATCCCGTTTTGTACACAAGTAATTAAACCAATGTTTTAAAAACTGACTTCAAAAGTTTGATATGCAACATCAACAGCTCATTTCATATAATCATGGATTCAAGTTTCTCAACTTGTTGGTTAACTCTATCCACCTGTTTCTTTTTGTGTTTTCTCTCCAGAGGGATGTGAATATTATTTGAAAATAGACAATGAACTTCCAAGGTTTCTTTAACATTATTGAGTATGATTCTATGGAAACTCTAAAAATCTTTTTGCAATTTTCTCAGTAAGGCCAATGTAATGTATTTAAGACATTTGGTTTACCTGTGATAGGGATTTAAACTCTTTTTTTAGGTACATCCTATTCTTTCAATTTGGTAATATTTCAAATCTGGGGTTCTACTTAATAAAAAATTATTTCCAAGTATCAAGCTCCTGAATAGATTTACTTATTAATTGTTCAGTTACATCTTCCATTCAAGGATTTAAAATCTGATTAGGAACATTTTTACCTAAACCTGAGGAGTCTGAGGAACTTTTTCTCTTTTATGTCTTTAATTCAACTGCTTATCAAGTCCCATTAATTCTACCTCTTAAATATCTCTATAATGAACCTTTTCCTCTTCATCATTCTTAATGCTACTGTCCATATCAGGCCCATATATCACATCTGGCTTAAATATATTAGAAACTCTTTATTGATACCTGCTTTATTCTGATCTTAATTCATATTCTGCCACCAGAATAATTTTTCTAACAGATTTGATGTTTCTGTATCTGGCTAAATTCCTTTTTGCCTAATGATCTAAAGAAAAAATTTACATGGCAAACTATTTAGGATCTCACTCCTTCTGCCATTCACCATTTTGATTTATACTCCCACAATACTAAACCACTTCCAGTTCTGAGTATGTCATAACCTCATAACTTTGTGTTTTTTTATTGATTCAACAAACATTTATTAAAACATATAGGAATTCATTTGTGGACAAATAAATTTTCCTCTCTGACTAGATTTTTCCCCAGCTAGATAAAACAGTGTTTAAATACATACATCATGTGCCTTAATTCTCTTTCCTTTTACATATCACTTGCTAATATTTGATTATTATTTACTTACTCCTCAACCCATTGGCTTTTGCTCTCATCATGTTATCATAATTGTCCTGTGCAAGGTCAAGAACCCTCTCTTAAGTTCCAAACTCCAAGCTCAGGCCAGCCTAAATGCCTGAGCTGTATGAAGCTTTGTTATGCTTTCCTTTGAACTTATATCCTTTCATGTAACTCTTGTATTCTTTGGGTGTGCTGTCTTTAAAGCTCTTTGCATTCATTTTGAATGTTATCTTAAAATCAGAGCAGAATGATGCTGGAGGTTTCATTACTCCTGATTTCTAAGTTTTATCATTGATTCAACTACAGATAATAATTGGAAATAATGTAAAATCCCAATGTAGTAAAAACAGTTTGGAAAGGGGGAAAAAATATTGCAGTTAGGGAGACCTGAGTTCTGATTCTGACCTGCACTTTTATTGCATAAGAGGAAGTTTTGCAACTTTCTTGAGGTAGTTCATTATATATGAACTTCAATATATTTTGAATCGTTCCACTTTATAAATAAAACAGAATGGGTACTAAAAATGGTAAAAATGCGTAAAAGAAATGTTACCTACCATAGACTTTAAATGGGTACAAAAATCAAAAATGGTTGGAACAGCATCCATTTTAAGTCGTCGAGTTTGTCCTGTTAAGTCAAAACAGGAGGCTTCAAAGTGCTTTGAACAAAGAAAAGTATGTTTTCCTGGCACAAAATTTTTGCGCCTTAGCAGGCGAACCCATTCTTTTCTTCTTTTAGGATCCAAAGGAAACCTTTAAAAAAAAAAAAAAAAAAGGGCAACTCAAACTCCAACTATTACACTTCTGGTTGCACCTAAATGGTTAAAAGAAATTTTAAAAGATGATGATTTAAAGTGTCTTCCATTTACATAAAACATTTTAACATCCAGACACGGAAACAGAAACCAATTCATGCTAATTTTTTTTAAAAATATTTTTTATTTATTTCTAGGGGCGGGATGGGCAGGGGAGGATCAGAGAGAGAGGGAGTCACAGACTCTGAAACAGGCTCCAGGCTCTGAGCTGGCAGTCAGCACAGAGCCCGACGCGGGGCTCGAACCCACGAACCGCGAGATCATGACCTAAGCGAAAGTCGGACGCTTAACTGACTAAGCCACTCAGGCGCCCCAATTCATGCTAATTTTTATAAGTTGAAAAAAAATTACTCAAAAACTGACTTGGGTGGTTTTATTTTACTTTCCAGGATTTTAGAGAACTTTCTTTCCCACCTAGTCCTTAACGTGGGCAGTAAAAATAAACGCAACCATACTGATTTAGATCAAGGTTATATAGAACCATTTTAAGCAGGAGTAATTCATAATGCTATGATGTACATGGTCAAGACAAAATATCTGCAGATTAAATTTTATCAAGGAAAGCCTAGATAGATTCTGGTATTCCTTCCTGTGTTCCTTCATTGTGACACCCAACACATTGTGTAGGAATTTTTCTATTTTAATAAATTTCCAGTGAAATAAAAGTAGATTTTAAGTTTCTTGAGGACAGGGATCATTATATCATCTATATATCTTTAACTTAGCACAGTGCCTTGCAAACAGTAGGGGCCCAATAAATATTTGCTTAATTGCTCTGAAACAAATATTTGCTTAATTGCTCTGAGACAGAATATATAAATTTTTACTGTATTACTTCCGTGTAAATAAACTATACACACATATTTCTAACTTTATTAATTTTGAGAGAAAGAGAGAGAGGAGGAGGAGGGGCATAGAGAGAGGAAAAAAGAGAATCCCAAGCAGGCTGTGCTGTCAGTCCAGAGCCCAATGCAGGGCTCAAACTCCCGGAACTGGGAGATCATGACTTGAACTGAAATCAGGAGTTGGATGCTTAACTGACTGAGCCACTCAGGTGCCCCAAACTACACATATTTAAAAAAAAGAACTCTTAAGCTATGTAGTACAGTAGAAAGCATAATTATTCCAAGAAATAAAATGCTAATGCAAGCACAGCAGGAATGTTTTTCCTTTCGTATTTATTTTAAATACAAAATATACTGATGTATCAGAGTATACCGGTTAAGGAAGAGAAAATTATAGGGGGCTGCCCCCAAGTTCTAGTGGCCACTGTATTTAAAAAAGAAATTTTTTTTTACACTTACCTATTTTTGAGAGACCAAGAGAGACACAGTGTGGGTGGAGGAGGGGCAGAGAGAGAAGGAAACACAGAATCCGAAGCAGGCTCCAGGCTCTGAGCAAGCTGTCAGCACAGAGCCCCATGCGGAACTCGAACCCACAACCCATGAACCGTGAGATCATGACCTAAGCCCAAGTTGGACCTAACTGACTGAGCCACCCAGGCACCCCAAGTGACCACTGTATTGACTGACTTGAAAACATAAGCATCAATATTCACATAGAAGTTTGAGTTGAGCTCTTCTTTAGTTTGAGTACTTTACCCTTTAAGTATTATAATGAACTGACTAGTGTTTAAAAAGAACCATTAAAATCATGTTAAAAGATCACATGGCTCAGAAGCCTCCAAGTGAAACTTTATTAGGTAACAATAGCTTTGGCTAGATAGGATATTTTAGGTTTGCTTAAATTACTAGGGGTGACAGGCACAAACAGTTGGAAACCCATTTACTATAAGTACGCTTCCATCTCCTGTACCCCCGACCCCAGCACCCAAACATACCCTAATCTGAAGATAACATTTGTATGTCACTCTACAGTTTATATAAGTTTTTTCTATTTCATTAGATATCTCTGATGGAGAATTTACCTACTCTACATAGCTCTGGCCTATTGATGATAATGTATTCTCATTTCAAAGATCTCTGTTCCAATATTTAATGGTTTGGAAACATTTCCTGGAGCCTAAGCTAAAAGTCAAGCTTTAGTTTACATTTCTTGTTTTGGCCTCAATAAAGATACAGAACAAATAAGTACTGTCATGTATTATCATTGCTTTAAGACTCTTCAGATACATGAAGATTGTATTTCAGAATTATTTTTCAACCTTTTAATTTCTTTAGTTCTTTGTAGAAAGCTTTTTTTTTTTTTTTTTTAAAATAGGCTCCACGCTCAATGTGGGGCTTTAACTCAAGACCCAGATATCAAAAGTCTCATGCTCTACCATCTGAGCCAGGTAGTTACACGTTGCTCTTTGTAAAACTAGATCCCTAATTATGAAACCAATGCATATTTGAAGCTTAACTTGAGCCAATTTTCCTTCCTTAAGATTCAATTTAGGAATCCCATCTTCCTAAGGAAATTGTTCATGGGCTGAATTAGGTGTTCCTGTATCATACAGAATATCATTGTATTCTAATTGTTTACTTTTCTATTTCCACTCCTAGATCAAATTTCTCCTGGTTAGGATCTATTTTTCACTACTTTATCCTGTTAAGAAATCAATGAACTTTCTCAGTGAATCAGTGAATGAGAAAACTAATGGGGTTAGTTTTTATGTTTACAGTTATGGGAAGGGTACATAATCAAATGGCTTGATGCAAGAAGAGTGGCTGAGAGCATGGTCTCTGGAGCCAAATCAAGGTGCCAATCCTGGTGCCTTCAATGTAATAGCTGGGTGACTTTAGGCAAGTTATTTAACCTTCTTAGGCCTCAGTTTTATCATCTATACACTGGAATAATAATGGTACCTAGTATGGTTCTAGGGATTAAATGAGATCATGTGAGTAAATGCTTAGCCCAGTGCACAGTACACATTAAATACTAAATAAGAGCTATTTATTAATATAAAAATAATTACAGGTATCATGTGTCATGAAAGGGTAAGAGCTAGTCAGGACACTTTGAGTTAGGAATTAGCTAGGGAAATTAGAGTGGGAATAGTGAAGAGCTTTATCTTGGGGACAGCAAGAGTGTTATGACAGGAAGGGATGCTGGTGGGCCTTCCCTTTTAAAGAGTAATTTTGAATTCTATCCAAAATGGCTATCCAAAATGGCACTGGTAAGCCATTTAAAGGCCTAATTTAGTGAGCTGATTATTAACCTGTTTTAACTAGCTGTAAAACAGCCATTATTAAAGATTATATAAATTTGCAATTAAATTAAGAACAAAGGTAATAAATACTGAAACCCATCTTTTCTTAATTATTTTACTATATCTATATTCTTGAAGTTATTTATGTCTGTTATATCTGTGTGGTATAACTGCTATAGAAGTGTGGTACTGCACATTTATTCCCAATTCTATCATCAGTCATGTCATATTGGTAACTTGAAACTAGTCATGGTAGGAGTATTTATATCACGGAAATTGGCAAAAACTATCAATCAGGGCTTTCCTCTTTCCTTGGAGATCCTGTTGTGAAACCTTTAGCACCACACCATTGATTACACAGAGAAGTTAGGAGTGTATGAATGGAAGCGGTGAACCAGTTAAGAGGCTGTTGTAATAATCCAATCAAGGGGGAATGGTGAGAAGTCAAGGGAGGATGACCTACCACCTTCTGGGTGGATGGTGTTTTCATTTACTGAGAAAGGGAATATAGGAGGTGGTATAGGTTCGGTGGAAGAGCAAGCTCATTAGTACAGTTTTGGTATGTTGAATCTGAGGAACTGAAGAAAGATCAGGGAAATACTGAGACACTTGTCCTATGAGGTCTGGATCTCATTAGAGAGATTGGACTGGAGATATTGATTTGGGAGGCATCATGGAGTGTTAACTGAGACCACAAGAACAGTTGAAATAATTTTGATAAGAGTGGTAAGACCTAGGTCAGGGTGCAGAGAAAGGTGCTGGCAGAGAAAACAAGATAGATCAAAGATGAAAATCACAAAATTTGTGTCAAATAATTAAAAAGTAGAGAGTACTTCACAGAAGAAATGCTCACATGCCATGAAAAAGAAACAAAAATGACAACTCAGCAAGAGTGGTTTCAGAAGAGTACTGGGGAGACTTAGACTGGAGTGGGCTAAGATACAAGAAAAATGGAGACAGTAGGTTGAGGCAACATAAGTTGTACATAGGGATAAAGAAGTCTACCAAAATCCTAGAAGTTAGTCAAACATTGTATTTATGAAATAGAAATGTAATTTATTATATTATTGTAAAATCTACATTTCTGAGGTTACACATGAAAATGTTAATTTCATAGGGGAAAAAAACCGGTCAAGTATGCATGTTACTGTATCACTGTGTATCTCTTAAACACTCAATATTGTTTGCCTTGCTTGACTCCTCTTTCCCTCATCGTATACATCAAATTACCAAATACAGTAGTTTCTACTAAGTATTTCTTAAATCTGTCCACTTCTTTACATCATTGTCAGTACCATCTAGTCTAGGCTACTGGTGGACTCTTTCTTGTTTTACTGCAAGTTTCTTTTCTCCATTAATTCTCACTTTTAATTTACTGCTGGTTGGGCCAGCAATGAAGTATATTGCTTAGCTCAGTTGACATTGTAGCAGAGTTTCTCTGTGAAAGAAACAGTAGGTAAATTAACATTGTGTAATAAGCTCCTTTCTCATCAAATTCATCTCTTGATAATGCTTGACCAGCACTTTAAGTGTCAAATAATTCTCCATACTGCAGCCAGATGGCTTTTTAATATCCAAATCAAATCATGTCATTCTTTTAAAAACTTTTCACGTCTTCTCAAATGCTAGGTAAAAAAGAAATCTGTAAAGTAGCATACAGGACTAAATCTATGTCATGTTTTGGTATTATCTGAACTTTCACATCCTCTAAGACATGTTCTTTGACTTTCTAAGGCTGAGTTAGGTATCCCTGAGTGTCTCTGCTGTGGCACTTACCCATAATTATGTCTTTCTCACTGCATGCTAAATAAGAATTTTCTTATTGCTAGATCCCTAGCAGTATGTCAGGCAAATAAGAACTCTGTACACATCTGATGAATGAATGAATGAATGAATGAAGCACTACATTTCCATGAAATAGCTTAAAATCAGAAACATCACAAGGACTTTTTTTTAAAGCAGCAGTTTTTAATAAGAGGGGCATTTAGTCATACTTAGGTAGGGAAAGGGTCAAGGATATAATTTTCCACATTCTAAGATCGTATTAAGTTGTGAGATATATAAAATCAGAACTATTTGCACTTAACTTTCTTTGAATGCTTCTTCCGGCACATGGCAGGCACTTGCACAGAAGGTACCTATTCTATTTTATGCAGTGTTCAAAATGTTTTCAAGAGTTCTGATTTGACAGAATTAAATAATTATGACTGCTCTTCCAACAAACGAGGAAAAGCAAAACATGAGTTCTTATTACTCTGTTCTGTTAAGAATAGAAAGCTTATCTTTCGCACTTTCATTAACATCGCTTAATTCCTTGGCTATCAATGATGACTCAACTCCTCCGCAGCAATTGTTATGCGACTGAAATCTAAATGCTTCCCGTGTCAATATAGCTAGTGAGAATTTCCTAACTTTGACGAACGCACACAGCAGGCTTTTAAGGTGACTGCCGACGTGAACAGGAAGGGTTCGCTTCCTTTTAAGGCATCATTCATGTCAAGGCCCAGTCTAATACATGAAAAAATAAAAAATTAAGATACTTTCCTCTCACTTTTTCTCTAACGAGTAACCGCCATACAGAACTTGGATTTCTTTTACAAAGTGAGTAAACAAACCTTCCCTGAAGTGAGAAAAAAATTGGACATATTTGAGAAACATACAAAAAGGGCAGAAAGATGCTTCCTTGCTACTAGCTAGGTAGTGTAAGTCGTTAGAATTAGTAGACTCCTGTTCCTTCCACACAAGCGTACCCAGTCTAGGAGCTCCCGTTTCCGGCATCCCCACTCCCTGCCCAGGTTACCTGTGGAAGCTGATGTTAATGTGCTTGTTGTAGGTAGTAGCACAGCCCGCCGCGGCGCAATTGGTCGGCATTTCCCTTTCCCCCTCATTCGGCGCAGTCTTAAGCCTGTTCTGAGGCGCTGGCTGCTACGCTTCCTTCGCGCAAAGGCTAGGCAAGCAAGGCAGGGGAAGGGCCCAGCGATAGGAGTCGTGGGAACGGGGTCGGAAAAACGGCTGTGTGTATTGGGGGGGGTGGGTTCAACCTTCTGTCTCTTTATTAATATGGCGGACTTCAGCCAGCAGAGCAGATAGTTCTGGACGTCCGGTCTCCTTCGTTTACCTTCACCAACATGGCGGACACAAGCCACCCCCACCAGGCACCCAAAAGGGAGTGGGACTACTGTGTCTCTTTGGCAGCCGCCCTCGGAGCAACTAGAATGTGTCTCTCACCCTCCCCCCATCACTATGAAACTCTCTCGCGGCCAAGATGAAGAACGGGCCCGCCCACCCCGCCACGCACCCAGATATCCCAATCCGGAGCCCAGGGTGGGTGTGAGCCGTAGGTTGGAAGGACAAACCCGAAGAGAGAGAACAGAAAGACTACAAGCCCCACTGGAAATCGCGTTGTCCGGATTATTATCGCGTGAACTGGAAGCCTTGTTTCCTGCGTGCCGCAGGAAGCGACGTCACGGGCGAGCCACTTCCAGAGTCCCTTTCTCGCGAGGCGGAAGAGCCCCGAGCGCGGAGAAGCAAGGGGGCGCTAGGGAAGGGAACTGGATTGCGACGGTCCGGCGAGAAAGAGCTGGGGTGCGGGGAAGTTGGGGAGCAAAGCCCGCTAGGTGTCCGAGCAGGGTAAGGCCGCACCGACCGGGTCCGTTAGAAAAGAAGGGAACCGAGGAGGAAGGCAGTTGTCGGGCGGATCCCCGGACGGAGGGCTAAGGTTGCGCGGAAGGCACTGCTCCCGGGATGGCGACCGCAGATATTCCGGCCCCGGCCTCCAGTGGCCTCTCGCCCAAGGAAGAAGGGGAGCTGGAAGATGGGGAAATCAGCGACGACGATAACAACAGCCAGATACGGAGCCGGAGCAGCAGCAGCAGCAGCGGCGGCGGGCTGTTACCGTATCCGCGGCGAAGGCCTCCTCACCCGGCCCGGGGCGGTGGATCTGGCGGAGGCGGTGGCTCCTCTTCGTCGTCGTCCTCTTCTCAGCAGCAGTTGAGGAATTTCTCACGCTCGCGGCACGCGTCGGAGCGAGGCCACCTCAGGGGACACAGCAGCTACCGACCCAAAGAGCCGTTCCGGTCTCACCCGCCCTCCGTGCGGATGCCTTCGAGCTCGCTGTCCGAAAGCAGCCCCCGGCCGTCCTTTTGGGAACGGAGCCACATCGCCTTGGACCGTTTCCGCTTTCGAGGCAGGCCCTACCGGGGTGGAAGTCGCTGGAGTCGGGGGCGAGGAGGGGGTGAGCGAGGAGGCAAGCCGGGGGGCAGACCTCCTCTGGGAGGAGGAGCAGGATCCGGATTCAGCAGCAGTCAGGGCTGGCGAGAGCCCTCTCCACCTCGGAAGAGTTGTATCCTTAACGTGGCGGTCCGCCCTGGGTGTGTCACTTAACCAAAGTTCCCTTTAGCGTCATTATTAGGTCTATGAGATGAGTAACTTTTCTGAACCATCAGAACCGCTTGTCAGTGTCAGAGTTGCTCTTTGGTGATTCCCATGTGTCACACTACATACAGAGTCTTGTTTCTTAAGAACGGTTTATTGGGTGTATTATTGGATTTTAATATGAATGTGTTATGGATTGGCACCAAGTTAGTGAAATACGAGAACATCTAAAATCAGATTTATAACAGTACATCAGAAGCCCAGGTTTCATTAGTATTTGTACCAAATTTGTTTTCCTGTGAGGTTGTTTTAGATTGTTAGAGGGGAAAAACAAGAGTCAAACAATTTGGGGAATAGTGTTGCTTATACCATATTGAACTTTGGCATTGAAAATTGTAAAGTTCCATTCTGCATAATTCTATAGTTTTTGTGATTCTGCTTTTATCTTTCTTGATTCATTCTTAACACACTGCTGCCTTTTAAAGTGGGGGCCAGGGAAAAGATCCATTCCTTTACCAAGTCTGTTAATTCAGACGTTTAAAATTCATAAACTTTTAGTAAAACTTTACTGCGTTCTCTATTTATGTTCACTTTTTGGCATTTTATAACAGTGTTGACAAATGTAGGTTAGAGAAAGACACAGCATTTTAATTTTAATATATTGGAAGCCATGGAGTATATGAGAGGGTGGAGATTATGGGGAGGCTGAGAAGGAAAATAGCAAAATACTTGATTTTTGTTCTCTCTAAGCCCATTATCTTTAACATTCCTAAATTCACTTAAGATTTATACAGGGGAATCAGTCATCTGAAGGTTTGCTAGTTTATGATGAGTTTGTAGAACTAGGTCTTATTTCATGATAATTGCATAAAAATAGTTTACTAAGCACAGTTATTACTGGTTATAATTTTATAGTGTAATGATTTAAAACATTCATTGTATATTGAACTTACAGGCAATAACGTTTGGAAGACACTCAACATTATTTTTATAGGATACTTAGGACCAAATGTATTTTCCCAGGTGTTAGGATATAAAGGGGACAAGAAATGTAAGTTTAGGTAAGAAGTAGCAACTTGTGGTCCTAGTGCCCAGAAAAAACTTGATATTGCAACCAAAAGTTGGGTTAGGAGCATCCTAGTCTCTTTTCAAAGGAAATCATGTAGATATTTAACTTTTAAAAAGATAAAGGATGTTCTTTCAAAAAAAAAAAAAAAACTATGTCCAAGACATTTTTTAAATGAAAGATTTCTTGTTTATGATTCTAAAAAAACAGGCTTTTTTTTTGTATATTTTAAGAATAGAAAAATACAAAACAAAATTTGGAACTTGTTTTGGAGAGACAAATGTGAATAATCACAGTTTAATGTAAAAAAGTTCATATTGATGTATCTAAAAAGTACTGTGGGAGCAGTTTTTTCTTCATCTAATTAATCTGTATTACAGAAGGTGGTGAGGGGGTTTGCCCACCTCCTGCCTTTGCCTTTTTTTTTTGTCTATTCATTCAGTACCAATTTGGCCTAAATCACATATACCTTTATTAATTGCTAAGCTTATGTTTTTATTAATAAACAGGCATATAATGTGAAAAAGTACATGAATATACCAAATCTGATTTCTGTAGTAACTTATCAGAAATGAGCTATCTTGCTGTTTTTCTTTTCACAGATGCTGCTCTTAAGAAAAGGATGCTTATTTTGATCCTTGCTTATTGTTTTCCTTGTGAAGTATCATTAATCCATCCTAGGGGTGATATTCTTTGTAAAAATTTGTGAAGGAAAACATAGCTTCCAGCTACTTTTGTATAGTGTGAGCAAACAAAATTTGTCATACAAAATTTTATTAATTTAAATTTCTTAATACCAAGATTTTATCCAGGCTTAGTCATATGTTTCACTGGGTGATTATAATAATGACATTTTTATTTTGCAGATATTAACATCAAGAAAGAATTAAGGGTTATGGGACACCTGGCTGGCTCTGTCAGTAGAGCAGGTGACTTGATCTTGGGGTCATAGGTTTGAGTCCCATGTTGGGGATAGAATTTACAAAAAAAATAAAAAAGGAGGGTTATATTGTGACTCATTTCCATAACGTAGAAGTAAAGTAATATGAGTACAAGTTTTTCGTTTTTTTTTTTTTTTTTAACTTATTTTCCTGTAATGATTAAGGTATGCTAGTTGCAACTTTAAAAACGTAGAAGGAACCAGATTCTATTGTGGCAGCTATTTTAATTCTCATTGATTTAAAATTTTACTTAGTGATAGACACAAGCTCAGTCAGTCTTAGCATATGCTTCTTTTGGATGACTACTGTTTTAAACTTTCTAATCTGATGAGAGCTAACATAAATTAGGCCAGTGTCTCTCATCAGTAAAAGTCATTTCATTTTCACCTGCAGTTGTAAAGGTTGAATAACAGTTCTTTTTTTAAACTAGATTTGAGTTAGAAATTGCATTTTAACTAGCTTAAAATTAAATCTTTTAAGTGTTGGTTTCATGTCCTATATTAGAAATAATTCCATTTAGCCTTGACGGAGATTAGTTAGTTACAGTTGCAACTGAATTACTTTTCCTCATTTTTCTTTTATTTTTTTGTCAAGTGTTTTGAATTTTTTCTCTCTACAAATCTTTCCAGGGTCTTCAGTTTTATTTTTTTAATCCCTGTGGCTGTGCCTTTAGGTGGCTTCACTGAAAAGTGAGGTGTCAATGCAGATAACTAGTGAATTTATGTACAAAGAGTAATGTGGGTTAGGGGAGCAATTAATGCTCTAGCTTCACATAGGAGGTGACATTTCAATTTTGAATTGGGGTCAGTTTGAGGAACCAAAAAATCTAAATACGAAGTTGTGCATGAATTGTGATGAACAGGGAAATTGTAAGATTGGAAAGTAAGTGCAGGTCAAATCATGAAGGCATTATATGCCATTGTAAGATTTTGGACTCTATTCTTAATAAGATTTAAACAAGGGAAGAGATCTGATCAGATTTGTGTTCTAGAAAGATTAGTCCAGCAACAGTGGGGGATGGCTTGTGGGAGATAAAACTCCAAATATCTATTATGAGGCCAGACTTCTCACTTGTATTATGTAAATGTATAGGAGTGCATTAGAATGCTCAAAAGGAAAAGTGAAAGAGGCTTAAATAGAGCTTACTTGAAGAGCACCATAATTGCGGAAATAGAAAGGAGTCATGAGGACTTAAAGGAAAAAAAGAAGGTAGGGAAACAGGAGGAAATTGGGGTGAGGGAAGCCAAGAGAAAAGTGGTTTGCAGTGTCCAAAGCTGCAGAGAGGTCAAGTGAAATAAAGTTTGGAAACGTGGTGAATAAACAAACTCAGCCAGCAGAATCTAGATTCTGTTTGAAGAGTAAGGTAATGAGAAACTAGTATTCTTTCAAGAAACTTGGCTCTGAAGATTCAGGTTAGGTAGATCAGAGGTCCAAAGATTCACTGAAACAGTTTTGCTGTAGGAGTGTTAAGATGTTGAGATGTAAGTTGTAATGCTGGTTTAGTTTCTAAAATTATTGGTGGTGAAAAAACAGTATTTGGTGGTGGTTCCTGTTCTTATATTAATCATTAGGGAAATTTAAAAATATCTGGGGACTGATGGTCCTGTAAATTGTTAAACAGAGGAACCATCTTTAGGGAACTGTAATGTTATATCCTAGACAGTTTAAATGATCTGTGTATAAATGTTATATTGTATTAAAACCACATACTTACTTATCTTTAAGTCTTGTTAATTTCTAGGCAGGAGAATTGAGGTATAGCAATTTTCACCTATGTGAATTATTTTGAATAAAAATTGTAGCTTGGAATTTTGTAGCCATTTCCAAGGAAAAAATTATATTCTATGTATCACTTGTTAGAAGAAAAAATTTGGTAGAGTTATCCTTATCTTCAGGGACAAATTAATTTATAAGATACATTTTGAATGCTAATTGAAAGGTTTTATTTTTTATGGTATAACTGCCTTGTCTTAGTTGTGCATATTTTGGATATTAGTATATTTGATGAACTCTAAGATTGTTATGTATTAGGTTTTTAAGAAAATGTTTCCTATATATAAACTAGTTTTAGCTATTAGTTGTCAGTGCTCATTTTTTAATCTCTTTTTTAAAAATTTGAGACTTGAG